TGCCGATAAAAACTGCACAAATAATAAGTGTATATGCATGAAAGGAGGGTTGAATTGTTCTAGTGAATGTAAATGTAGAGACTGCCAAAATACATTCAGGGATCCAGTTGGGCCAGAACCAGGAAATGAAGAAGAATACTAAAATGAATATCATTTTTTGTGTGATAGTTTGGTTTAAACTCGATTATATTTTGTAACTTATGAAATCGTTTCCATTATGAAAAATATGAAATGCAGTATTATTTTCCTCTATACTTGCATCATTGACCTTGAAACCATCATAAGAACAATTTCTCAACACAACATTGTGCACTGATGGAGCGGGTATTGGGAGTGGAGTCGTTAATCTATGGGAGTAGGCACTGGTATTGCGCTGAGCGCGAACAGTTACCGGAGGCGCGGAATTAGCATGTTTTTAAAAAATCATACCTTCAAAACTATTTCATATGTATCAAATTTTTTTAATCTAAAAACTTTTTCGACTCATTATCTCAATTTTCTTCGCTGATTGTATATAAAGAATTCGACTAATAAAAAAGTTTTTCGATCAGTGAAAATTTCATCTCACGGTTTTCACTATTTCATATTCTCAACTTATTCAGAGAAAAACCCGATTTCATTACATCATTCTATTGGCATGATGAGAAGCGCTAGATTATCTCCTTTCGATCAAACGAAAAAGCAAATCAATATCTCAAGTAGTTCTCGAAATATTGAATAATATGTTTAGAAAAACACGATTTTCGAATATCCAACTTTTTTCGTATTTTTTTGAATAAAAAAGTTCGTCCCCACAGAAAAATGTCGTCTATCTGGACTATGATGGAAAATCACATAAGGAACATCATCTAATAGGTCCGATTTGGTTATACCTCGAAAAAAAAAAACGACACATTTTATCCCCGATTTTACTCCTCTAAACAGTTTCAGGGTATGTTTGGGTGCTGCACTCCAAATATGGAAACAGTATTCCAGGACAGGTCGGATCTGCGTCTTATAGATCATGAGCAGCTGACTGGAAGTGAAATAGCTCCTGGCCCGAAACAGAAAACCAAGTTTTTGGGATGCACTTCTAGCAATTAATCTCACGTGATTTTCCCAAGAAAGGTTATTGCTGATAGTAATATACCAAGCATCAAAATGGATGTCTTCAAACGTATGATTACTCCTGACAAGTTTATGTTGGGCACAGTGAGATCGGCTTTTCTAGAGAAAAGACATGCTTGTGTTTTGTTTGCATTGAAATCTACCAAGCTATTGGATCCCCATTCGAGAATTTTTGCCAAGTCCTAGGATAATAAGCATTGTGGCTAGAATGTAATAGGTTTTGGGTTAGGGAAACATTGAAACATCAATATATTATATTTTGATACGATTCTGTATATTCTCAGAATATTCTGAGATGACGTCAAATTGAATCCTCATAGAATATTATTTGTTGGAGAATGAAAATATTCTGTGATCATTCAGAGAACATTATTTCAGAATGTTTTAAAATGAGCATATTTTAACGTTCATAGAATATTCTTTGCTCACTAGGAGGGTACTTTCGGTACTCACTCGTTTTAGAGACCAAAGACTTATGCACAGCAGTGTACGTAACATTATTTCAGAATATTCCAAGATAAGCATACTTTAACGTTCATAGAATATTCTTTGCTCACTGGGAGGGTACTTTCGGTACTCACTCGTTTTAGAGACCAAAGACTTATGCACAGCAGTGTACGTAACATTATCGAACTGCATGTCCACCCTTCTTCCAACGGACCGCAACCCCTCAACCACATTCTCATCGTCATCCAGCAACGTCACTTTTTCCGCTTTGAGTTCGACGTGCACCACAGAAGAAACCGCGACATCATCAGTACCACCGATGGTAGTACCATCGCTCGTGGTACCACCGTGACCGTTCGATCGACCCGCTTGGGTCGTACTATCGTGCAGAGCCGCTGCCATGGCACTAGCACTGCCGCGAGTTCGGAACTACTTCGCACCCACTGAGCAGTTTTTATCTCGGTTTGGTCATTTTATATCGCGAGTGTGGCGATTAAAGTTCAGTCGGTGTCGCATTCTTGCAAAAAAACGGAAAGATCATTGAACGTGGTCCACGAGAACAAGATTGAGTCATGAAAAAAAGTGGTGCAGGTACTAGTTGAGAGGAGTAGTACTTTAGAGTACTTTAGGGTCGGGCTGACACTATATGTGGGAACTTCCAAAATTTCTTTTTTCGGCAATCGTCCGGACGCTTTTTCTTTGAGATAGTAGCATTATCACATCGTTGTTGTCACTGTAACTATGAAAATATTGGTAAATATGGTAAATTGATAATAAATGCAGATGATAATTATCATAGCATGCTGATGTTCCGCACGGATCAATTCTAGCACCAACAATATGTCTACTCCATATATCAACGATTTGTTGGAAGCAACTTCATGTCTATATAGTACACAGCTTTGCGGTTGATAGTACCCTCCATACCGCCTTCTCTTCCAGGGCTCCAATACCAGCAAGGCAAATCAGAAACGAACGAGGAAGAAATGTTGACAACATAGATATGGACTTGGCAACAATTCTCGAATGTCCTGGAATACTATTTCCATATTTGGAGTGCAGCACCCAAACATACCCTGAAACTGTTGGATTCTGTCCAAAAAAGGGCAATTCGTCTCGTGGGTGATGCCTCGCTTACAAACCCACTCACTTCTCTGGACCACCGTAGAAAAGGTCCTTTCCATTTGAGATTCTAAGGGTAACATCTACACCTCCTACGGGGTTGAACCAAGAGTGCTGAAAATATGCATTTCAAGTGTCCCCCTTGAAAATAAAATTGATGTGTCACTGGAAGGGAGATATTGAGGGTTGGAAGTTTCCAGAATGTCACCCTGTAAACAGTTGATTTGCCCCAAAATGTCACTGCGTTTGAAGAATTTTTCTATCATAGCCTAAAAGAAAAATTCACTAGCTTGTCAGTGACAATTTGTATTGAAGAAGGTTTGGAGAAGAGAAATAAAGGAATACAGAAAAAATATCAAATTTTCACTTAACTTTGGACGTTTCGGGAACGAATCTGCTCCCGTGTTCAACACGAAAAATGGATATTTGACTAGCAAATTCGTATTTGTCTTGACAATTTTCAGTTCTCATTGACAATTGGTGACGTTGGCAATCAGATGAGTTATAGGATGTTTTTATTGATTGATCTTGAATTTACCATTTTCATTTCCAGATTTCAGGAGTGAATACCATGTTCGATCTATATCAACTGAATAGGAAGCAATTCTATTGCTATTCAAATATCCATTTTTTATGTTGATAACGGGAGCATATTCTTTACCGAGACGTCCAAAGCTAAGTGAAAATTTGATATTTTTTCTATATACCTTCATTTCTCTTCTCCAAATCTATTTCAATGCAAATTGTCAATGAGGAGCTAGTGAATTTTTCTTTTAGGCTCTCTGATTGGAAAATTCTTTGAACGCAGTGACATTTTGAGGTAAATCATCCGATTTGTCGTTACTACACGTATATTGAAATAATATTCATATTTTCATTTTATGGAAACTAGCAGAGAAAATCCCAAAAAACCTGGAATAAGGAAAGTACCACCTCCTCCATTAACCTACACAGACAGTATTCATTTCCATAATTCAATGTTTGGCTGATGCACTATAAATATATCCGAAACATTTATGTCCTTGGAAATAATATTGTGGGGTTGATGAGTATCCATATTTAAGTATTACTGCTTGTTCATCCATCTAACAATACTCCACTTCGACAGACTATACAGGGTGATTCACATAAGAACCGACATAGAGCAGGGGCATGTAGGAGGTCCCAAAATATGTCAATTTAACGCAACTTACCTCTATACCAAGTTGCTTCCCTGAGGAGTTATAGGCTTTGAAAGTGAAGTTATAAATTTTGAAAAAAATCAATATCTCCGTTATTCTTGAACTTGAAGCAACCAAATTTGGTACACTTTGTGGATGTATTTAGGGCGTTACTTGAAAGTAACTAGAGTTCAATTGGAATTTGTAAAGGGGGTATACCGGGTGGCGCACCATTAATATATTCAACAGAATTTTGTTTACCCTTGCTGGATTTTAAAAATCTCTGCTTCGTTTTGTGGGCAATTCAATTCTAAAACTTTTCTTAGTCTAGTAATTTCTCGAAAAAACTCATCATTTTCATCAAAAACTCGAATAACTGAAAACGCGTGGTCTAAGGTGTGTTATTAAAAATCATCGAAAATTCAAAAGTTGGCTATGAAAATAAACGTCGAACTTGACAATGAAGCAAGTAAGTTGTTCAATTAAGTATTTCATCGATAAATAATTGTTTGTTCTGGTTGTTGTTTAAGTTTTTTGTGTTTATTTTGGTTAGTTGTTAATCCCAGTTTTTCACATTTCAGTATCTGTCCTTACTTTACGTATTTTGTTACGTATCTAAATAATAATTTTCCAGCCAATTCCTACTGATCACAATTAATGACCTACTTTCTTGTTTTCGAGAAATTACTAGACTAAGAAAAGTTTTAGAATTGAAATGCCCACAAAACAAAGCAAATATTTTTGAAATCCTTCGAGGTTTAACAAAATTCTGTCGAATATTAATGGTGCGCCACCTGGTATACCCTACAAATTTCAATTGAGCTCTAGTTACTGTCAAGTAACGCCCTAAATACATCCACAAAGTGTACCAACTTTGGTTGCTATAAGTTCAAGAATAACGGAAATATTGATCTTTTTCAAAATTTATAACTCCACTTGCAAAGCCTATAACTTCTCAAGGAAGCAACTTGGTATAGAGGTAAGTTGCGTTAAATTGCCATATTTCGGAACCTCCTACATGCCCCTGCTCTATGTCGGTTCTTATGTGAATCACCCTGTATATGAACATCTATATTCGCAAAAAGATCTTATGTTGCTGATTTTCAATCTGCCTCTGGCAGAGTTGAATTTCCATTCACCTGTACCGCAGAAAAACAAACTTACTTGTCTTCGACATCAAAGCTTTTTGTACGGCAGTGTAAGTCACATTGTCGAACCAGATATCGATACTGTTCTGGATGCAAGGAAGAGGCAACTTCTTCGACCTACTGGCATTTTCCGCTTTCGAACCAACGCACACTAGATTGTCAGGGTTGTTGATACCGCGCGTACCACCAATAGTAACACAACCGTTTCCCATCATTTGACCTCCTTGGGTCGTACTCTCGTGCAGAACTGCTTCCATATCGATGACCGGTCGGTAATACGAGCTCCTCTGTCTTTTTTGTCCCTGTTGCCCATGCACTGAGCAGTGTTTATTACCGTTCGGTCATTTTATAGGAAGATAATAGAGATCGAAGGTCAGCGTTCTCTATATCATGGACCAAGTTATAATTACACAAAGCGAATCATAGTTAAGACCCAAAATTTTCATTTTATGATTCATCACTTTCTTTCAGGGTGGAATATACGGTCCAATCGACTTATGTCGTGAGTCCCTCAGTAATCTTAGACTCGCAGTCCCACTACGGGAACATAGCTAGATTTTACCTTTTCATTTATATTTCATTCATTTTATTCATTGAAGTAATACACGTAATACATCCAACAGACTAAAAGTCCAATTACAGAAGTATATAACAAAAGAAGAATGTGCATCACACGATCATTCTAACCATAGTATAGCACTATCCCAGACAGCACTGGATATTCCTAGAATATGATTTGTTATTTGAATGTCATATCCTAGATTGGAATGAGTGCAAATTTGAAGGATATGTCCCATGAAAAATCGAAAGCTGTGGCTATTTTCGGTCAATTCGTTCTGCGATCTTCAATAATAAAGAATAAGTTATCGAGGGGTGGAGCCACCTTATTGGAGAATCATCCAGTATATGGAGTTATTATTATCATTCTTCTGACTTTTGATTTTCTTTCAAGGAAACATATGGAGTCATATTTCCAAAAATCTAAACATTTATATATCAAAGAATTTTATTGTCAAATTTTCCAATTTATTTTAGGGCGTAACAATGAATAATCCAAGCGGAAGCAATTCTATAGATTTCTGGTCGAAACCTTTGGTCACTTCCGTTCCTAAAACACTATATCGGCGTCAACAGTATATTTTTCAGGAAGGAATATGGAAGGCGTCCCTTCTGCATAAGAAAGGAATATTTCTATACCTTTGAACAATCTAGCCGTTCTCGGCCTAAATGAACCTTGTTCCTTAAAAGTATATTCTTGGGAAAATCACTTTATCAAAACTCCTTCATCCATAGAACGGCTAGGCTCTGGAATTCATTGCCTGAGGAAGTATTTCCAACAACATATAATCTCCCCTTCCTATCCTCCCTAGGAACGCACGATGTTCTTTGAACATTATAGGGATTCCCTTTCGTGAGCTCCAAGCGATAAAAAAATTCCCAGCAAACATTTTGATGTGGGGCATCAATGGCCAAATATTTTTTTCCATACCTGACATCAGCGGCCCAATAAATGGTCCCATATGCGGGACTCTATATATCAGTACACTGCGGCCGGCAGCTGGTCCAAGTGCTGGGTTCTCAGCAAACATATTCAGTTTCCCGGCAAAAGGCCAGTACAACCTAATCGACACATTGAGTTTCCCATAGCAAGCCCAGCATATACATAAATGATGGGACTGTAAAATTAACGACATTGGTTACATACTATCGAGGTAGGGGAGGGGTAGGGGTTTTAGGGGTCCAATGGATCTGAAACTTCTCGTACCTTTTTATTTCACAATATAACCCTCTCATCATACCAGATTTCGAGAAAACAATCTTATGAATGACACAATAATATCTTCTTAACCTCTCTGTTCTTCAACGATGAAACTTCTCGGAGTGACTGCTTACTGGTTGGTATGTGGTATCCACATCTTATTGGGTAGCATTCCTTTAAAGTCGATTTTTCGTTGTGAGGTACTTCTGAAATATAAAATGCATCATTTGTTTATATATGGTTCACATGACCTAAGATTGCTTTTGATAGCAACAAACGAGTAAAAAATGATAGTTGCTTTTGGAGAAGTACAGTCCACTCAAATTATTATGATCATTAGTTATATGAGGTTACGAGATACCAAATAACACATGCATTCAATAATTCAATTTGAAACACTATATGTATAGGTAGATTGATAGGTACTTACTCAATATTATCATAATTGGAGAATCTGTCTTCTATCATTATCAATTGAGAATACTCCTGCCATCATGAATAACCACCAGGGAAATAGAGGAGCACAATAATTCATCGAAATAAACAAACTAGTACGCGATCACCACTCACGAGAGTCAGCCATCTTAGTCACATTTAATATTGATCAGCTGATTGTTGATGTTGACGTTCCCAGAACTTCCACCAGGGGGACGAGTAGCGAACATGAAATTGGGGAGCAAGGGGCCAGATCTCGTAAGTATTCAATTAGTTCCAGACATCTTACCATCACAAGGCCATCACCGTATTTTTAACTGATGGTTACTTGGCATAGGAGAATAATTGGCCCATTACCAATACCCCGGCATCGTCACTTTCCCAGACTAGCCTGCACTAGGCCGGACTTCTCCCGCTAGTTCAATGTTTGCTGGGTTGTGCTTCAGACGGTCTATCACTCGATCCAAATCGTTACAAAGGTATAGGATGCTATATATAGGAAAGTACGAATGTTGTGTTCATATTGCCAAAGACACAAAGGCTGTGCCATTGTCAGCATCTGCGGAGTTCTACAATTTCGAGCCACTTTTGTCTTTTGTGCTATGCACTTTTGACTTTTGTCTGCTCAAAACCATTCTGTAGATTTACTTCCAAAACAGAAAATTCCAACTTGTCTCAGGGTACTTCCCCTGACTGAAGAAGATGAACCGAAGTCGAAACAAGCCACAAACTTAACAGGTTTTCGAACCAGAGAATACTGTTGCTTCATTGGATTCTCAGACTTTTGCTTTTGAACAAAATGGTCAAACGCGCCACAAAATTCGTGGAGATTTACGAAATCCCAAAAGTTCTTCTGCTTTTTGTCAAATGAATCCGAAGCAGTGAACTGGGATTCGGGTTTCACCTTAACCCAACGATATTTTAAGGTGCAATGTGTGAGCTTTCGACCTTCCGGGTCTGATCAGTTAGGCGCAGAAGCCTAAGAGCTAATTTGATTATGAAGATATTATTGTTACTTGTTTTATAATAGGGATAGAGACACTGATCACTTGGATTGCACATACTTTATAGGTATATCGACGCCAAAGGATGCATGCTGAAGCCAATTCATTTTACCTCCCACGGGAGTTAATATTTTTTTCTTCCCGTGGGAGTGAATTGAGAATTTTGTTTCCTTGAATGAGGGAGCAAACACCTAATTTCGATTCAGTGAGTAGATAAAAAAAAAATTGACAAGCAGTTGCTCGCACAGGCTAGATGCAGATCATAGTGCAGATCTTAAATGGATTCTCTGTTGCGCCCTCTGTTTCTAGACGTTTCTCTCCCTCGCTAGCTGAAAAGCTACCGACACCTTATTATATTATGCAATTGAGATGTTTATAGTCTCTAGGCATCTTATATGCAATCAATTGAAGCGATAAAGTCTGTCGTTGGAAGCTCGTCCCTCGTGAGAAGCTAATTCGTTTCACGGTAGTTTGTCATAGTCAGGTCGCGACTCGTGTCCTGTTGAGCACCTTGAGCACTATATCGGACGAAACATCAGTCATCTTTTTTCTATCTCCTTACAATATAGTCACTCTACTACTGACATCCTCGTCACGTCCTGAGTCCTCGTACTCTCGTAAGTTAAAGACAAATGTGAAAATTCCCAGGGGCCCGATTCTCGAATCTGTAAGAATTCGATCCTATTATAGGAGAATGATCCAATGCTTTGAGTTCTCATAGGAAATGATAATTTGTCATGACTGCTATTCTTGAACCAGATGGAATCGTTTTTCCCAGGGGATTGAAAAAGTTCCGTATGTCGCAGATAGATCCTTGAACTTACATGAATTCACCAATGAAATAAGTGGAAATTATGTTGGTAACTGGTGGATGATTGAAATGAAATGTTGACATTGTGATTTTGACGAACTTTGAGGTTACAGTATAATATGATTTTGCAACTATGAGATTATTTTGTATTGTATATTTACTATACCTCTGATCGAAATGGATATGGATATAAACAATATTAAAAAACCACGAGGTGGTAGTATTAGCAAATAGCAGACAAGACTTTTGATAGAAATAATGGAAGCCTCTGAGGACTTGAGGAAAGGAAAATTCCACCCCTAATTCACTTATAAAGATTCTTAAGTACCTATCAATTAATTCTCTAGTTATGTCTGTAACAAATATCAGCGATTGAAAAGGAATATTCTCAGATATAATTATGAACATAAAAAAATATATAAATTCATGAAAAATAAAAATCCTCTAAAATTGTATGTCAACTTATCATACATCCAAAAATATAATATGTTCTCTGAACATAACAGAATATCCCTTTTCGTATGGGAACCAGAACATGGAAAAATATCTTGCAAACATAAAAAAAATATTCCCTACCCCAAGTACCGAAAAGTTACCACAAGTTTAGCATACATATTGTGGAAGTTTTCTGTTCTGAACATTGGTGTGTGAACTGTATTCGCCTAAAAAACTCTTTTTATAATAAGTACCGGGTGCAGTAATGATAGCGCGTTCAATAGTTACACTTCCAAGTTGGAATTGAAATTACACTTAAGCCTTATCTTTTTTCAACATTCCTTTTTTGGATTCACTCCCTTTTCCTTCCTATAACTAGAGTAACGCTATTTCAAAGTGTAACAAATTTTTTGGAAAATCAACATCCAAATTTGAGATCGAAAAAACGAAACAGAATACGAAGTCACAATAGTTGAACGAAAAAGGGTCAGTAGCGAGTATTTCCGCCTCGGGCAAGAATAACTTCTTGTCAAAGACGGCATATACTCGAAACATAGATTCTCAATGGAATCTGGGTTTATAAACGCCGACTTGATACTCTCCCCTCGTAAGGGTACCTGTCGTGTTTCCATAGAGAAATAAAGGGGAATATCTGTCTGTTTGCTTGAGAATGAATCTGGAAAACAAAATCAATATATCACCTTCCGTACGAATATATATGGATCTGAATTGTGAAAAGTATACCCTCAGTTCTCTTTGCGGATTTTCTGTTCAGTCCGTCTTGACTGGATGATTTTCTCCAATTTATTGACAAGTATCGAACACTTTGCTTTTCAGACCTGCAACTCAACATCACATATCAGAAAGTCCATGA